GGGTGGAGGGGCGCGACGAACACGACAGCTGTGTTTTGCTGGAATTGCAAATGCGCGCATCGCATGCACGCGCATGTCAGCATTGCAAGCCACCGCCCGTGCTCGTGCTAGCGCTTGCACTTCCTGTTGCATTACATTGTGCGCGGGACCGTTGCGGCCGCAAGCCGTAGCATGACGCAAACAGCCGCATGTTCCTTGCTCTCGACATACCCTGGCGCAACTGCACCCCTGCCCTCCCTCTTCCCCCCTGCTCACCATGCCCTCGCTGTCCTGGTTGGCGCGCGCCCTGCTGTTGGCCATGAAGCTGAACTTGCCCGTCTTGATCTGGTGGCAGGGCAGGGTGACAAGGGTGGAGGGGGTTGGTCGGCACCACGGCAGACAGTTGAGGGCCGCAGAGCCCTGGGGCAGTGCTGGAGCAGCCCCCCACACGGCCACGTGACCGGGTTTTTAATGGCAGCATCCTGGGGCGTGCGCGGCTGCCTGGGTGTGCGCAGTGGCTGCCTGCCCGGTGTGCTGGGCCCCTCTGTCGGCCCTCTCTGCCCCCTCCCCACCCACCTCGAGCCCCTTGGCCTTCGCCTCCTCCTCTGTCAAGCCCACACTCGCCACCTTCACACAGGGTGCGTGACAGGCATTGCAGACGGCAGGGGACGTCGGCAGGGCAAGCATGGGGCAGCGCCCCGGGGTCACCGGGCGCACCGCATCAGTCGAGGCTGCCTCGTCCCGCCCCGCTCTCAGTCGTCGCGGCCGCCTGTTGCGCCGCCGCACGCCGGCCGCGGCGCCCAAACGCCCCACACAACTGCACGCACACACAGCGCACGTGCACGGGCGGCAAGCACAAACGTCCTCACGTTTGCAAGCGTCGTGCGCCCATGCGCGCCGCGCGGGCCTTACCTCTGGGTGTGTGTAGACGATGGAGGGCACCGTGTTGTAGTTGACGTGGCCGGGCTTGCCGCTGATGATCTCAACGGCCGCCACCCCGTCCTCCTCGGCCTTGTGGGCCAGCATGGGACCTGGGGGCCGCGGTGGCATACAGGGTGAGGGGGGAAGGGGCCATCATCAGGGGGAGGCAGGCATTTGACGAGTGGGTGGACGGCCGGCAAGATGTCGATAGGGGTGCTGCGCTGGGGCTGGGTGCGGGCAACAATGCGTGCGTTCCGCTGCGCAGCACTGCAGGAGCCACCAGGGGCGGCTGCAGGGCCACGTTTTCCCCAACCTTCCCGCCTTCCTTGGCAGCGGGGTGCACTCACCCGGGATGACGTCACCAATGGCGTAGATTGAGGGCACCTATGGGGGCAGGGCCGGAACATGGGGGAAGGAGCTGTGGGCTGTGGGCGCTGCGGGCCCGACGCCGCAGCACACGCGCCACGCGCGACGGCAACACACCCCAGGCGCCCACAAGCACACTCTGCGGGTCCCCACCGGGCCGGCGCACGGCGGCTGAAGCGTGCGTCAAGCTGCAGGGCCGCGGCCGCGCCCCTTTGAGCCGCGCATGGCCCCGGGCGCTGCAAGCTAGCCCCCCCCCCCCCAAAAGTCCACCCTTGTACCTTGGTCCTAAAGTGGTCGTCCACCTCGATGCGCCCGCGCTTGTCAGTGGCGATGCCCACATTCTCCAGGCCTAGATTCTGGGTGAAGGGGCGGCGGCCTGGAGGGCGGCGCAGGGTTTTGGGGGGAGGAGCGGTTGACGCGGGAGGGCGGGGCGGGGTTGCGGCCCGCACACAGTTGCAAGGTGCAAAAGGACATTCTGGGGCCAGGCTGGCAAGCGCTTGCAGCAGTGGGGGCACCGATTCCATATGAAACATTGCCCTTGGCCAGCTGATCGTGAGCTCCAAGATTGGCAACCCAGGCTCGTTCCACTGGTGCTGTTCATCCCCAGGCTCCTGCCCTCCCATCATCAGCCCTCAACCGCTAAACCCCGCCGCTCTCTGCACCCTTCGCTAGCCCCTCCGCCTCACCCACCCGCGCTGACTAGGACGACGTCCACCTCGATGGTCTCCTTGGCGCCCCCCTTGGCAGGCTCCACCTCCAGCACCACCTTGTCGCCCTCACGGCGCGCACTGTTCACCTGGGAGGATGGGGTCGTGGATGTGTGTGTGTGTGTGTATGTATGTGTGTGTGTGTGCGCGCGCGTGTGTGTGTGTGTGTGTGTGTGTGTGCGTGTGTGTGTGTGTGTGTGTGTGTGTGAGTGTGAGTGTGCGCGCACACGCATGTGAGGACGGGGTTGCAGATACAGATCAACGCCACCGGCCCCACCCCCCCCTGCCCCCCCAGCCTGGGCGTACCTTGGTGCCGAGCTTGAAGGTGATGCCTTGCTTCTGGAGGGAGCGCTGGAACTGGCGCCGGATCTCACCGTCCTTTATTGGGGGACAAGATATGATTTGCAGTTGATGTGTGTTTTGGGGAGCGGGTGAGCGAGTGAAAGGCGTGAGCGCACGCGCGAGTGTGTGTATATAGGCAGGGTAAGGAAGCAGTGGCGGCAGGGCGGCGGTGTCGGCTGCCCAACAGTGTTAGCTGGCCCTCAAAAGAGCCCTGGCTGCTCTTACCCAGGCAGCCGGCTTTCTGAAGGCCAGTGCACAGTGGCAGATGGGAAGCCCAGTTTCCCATTCCCCGAGGCAACACACACACACACATACACACACACACGCGCGCATACACACGCACATACACACACACGCGCATACACACGCACATGCACACCTGCACACACACACACGCACACACACACACACGCACACACACACACACACACACACGAAGCACGCGCGCGCTCACCATGGTGGGGACAATGTTGTCCATAAACTCAACAACAGTGACCTGCAGTGGCAGACACCGCAGAAAGGACGGGGCCCAGGCGGTGCGTACAGCATGTGCGCTCAAGCCGCTGGGAGATGGAGGACCACCCCTTCAAAGTAAAGCGGGACGAGCGCCCCTCCTCCCTTCGCGCCCGTCATGATGAGGGGCTGCTGGACTGGCTGGACGCCCGTGCAAAGGGGCTGCTAGGCTGGCGCGCGCCCGGATTTAACCCCTGCCTGCGCCACAGCGCAGCGCGCGCCTGCACCCCCCGCCGGCTGCGCCCCCGGCCAGGCAGGCTGGAGGATTGATCTCGGGCCCCAAGGGCTCCAGACCCTGGAGGCTGTGAACCCTGGGGGCCCCACCGGCCCCCCACCTTGGCTCCCAGCCTCTGGTAGACGCTGCCCATCTCGAGGCCGATGTAGCCGCCCCCTATCACGACCATGGTGCCCGGCACCTCCTTGAGCTTCAGCGCGCCAGTGGACGTCACGATGCTGGCGGGGTCGCGCGCGTGTGGAGCCGGGGGACGGATGCGGGGCGTAAGGAGGCTGTTTTTGGGGCGCAGCCTGCCGGCGCAGCGGGTGGTTGCCCAGCCCGGCAGGGCGGCCCTCGCTCCGCCAGCATGGGCGGTGCACCCCGCCGAGCTTTGCCACGCCCTTCCTGCTGCACACGGGGCCTAGCGCAGCGGCGGCTCAAGCACGCTCCACAACCCTATACCCTGCCCCCCGCCCCCTCGCACCCGCGACCGCCTGCCC